TGAGGCAGAGAGCTGCGAAAGACCCTTCCCAAAGCTGATCTCCAGCTGGAAGGCACTGGCCACTGAAAGAGATGTTGGCAAGGCCGGGTGCCTTTCTTTCTGACCTGTCTCCAGCCTCAGCCCAGTCCTCAAGGCCATGAGGAAAGGATTTCCCAAGGCCTGGCTTCCTGTTCTCTCATCGCCTGGATGCCCGGATGGGGTGCCTCGTGTGAAGTTCCCCCTCATCAGGGGTACAGGAAGCACAAGCTGGAAGGGGCCTTGGTTTCAATGACCTTTCTGAAGCTGGGCCCCCTTGAGCACCTGTCAAAAGCTCAGGTCAGAGGTTACAGACTCAAAAGCCAGATGGAGCAGCAGATGAAAAAAATTAATCATCGAGGAATAGTGCTGGGGCCATGGTGTGGGAGGACTGGCAGGAGGGCGCAGAAGCAGGGTAGTCCCTGGCTCAGTGGGTCCCAGGCCCCGTCTGAAGGAGGGAGGTGGCCCCCTCTCTGGAATGTGACATCAAGGAGATTCTCCTACTCAGGCAACCACATCTTAGGAGTTTCTTGCTTTCATTTTTGCCAACAGAAGCCCAAAATCTAGATTTTTGTTCCCAAGATCCCAATTTTTCAATGCTGGGTAATAGTTCACGTTTGAATGCTGCGTAGACCCAACAAACCAAAGCCCCACTACCAGTCAACCTCTCCTGCTCTTTATGTCCCTCCACCTCCCTGCACTCTCTCGAGTGTCATGGGCTGTGACCAGGGACCCTGGGTAAGGAGCCTCTGCAGCCAGGCTCTAAACCTGGGAAGCCTTGGCCTTGGTTGGGTGGCTCTCAGCTTCCACATGGAGTGTGGCTTCGTAGGGACATGTTCCTACCTTCCGGTGACTGGTGTCCTCATCTTTGTCCCATCTTCCACCCAGAGGCCAGACATGCTCCCTGCAGCCTCCTCTAAATTCCCCCTGGGACTTTGCCCCCAGAGCATGTCCTGGTGAAGGCTGGAGCTCTAGAGAAGGCGAACCTGGCTGGAGGTGCCAGCTGTGGTCTCCAGGCTGTCCCCTCCGGGGACCCGTGAGCACTGGTGGCCCTTGGAGTCCACCAAGAGGTCAAGCTCTGGGCCAAAGGGTATGGTGGCCACCTGCCCTGCTCATGGCAGCCACTTCTCTGCTGGCACTTTGGCGAGAGTCACTGGAAGGGACCAAGGGGAGCATGTGTCTCTCCACTACAGGGACACTTAGGACCTTTGTGCTGCTCCGGGCTCTGAGCCATCTCTGTCTGCTCACTGACCACTGCTGAGTGGCAAGAGGAGCCACACCAGGCCACAATTGGACACAGGTAGACCTTGCCTTTGTCCCTGACTGCACCTGAACCTGCCACTTCCTTCCCACCACTTCTTTCCTTTTATAAAATTTTTGGCTTTTTGAGACAGTCTCCCTATGTAGCTCAAGCTGGCCTCAAACTCATGGCAATTCTCCTGCCTCAGTCTCCTGAGTGCTGGGAATACAACTGTGCACTACCATGCCTGCCCCAGTTTAAGGAGCGCCTGCCCTAGATGCCTCAAGCCATTGTGATTTCATAGGCATTGCTTATTTAATCCCAGAGCATTTGATAAGGTGCCCCAAATCATGCCTGAGGCAGAGGGGACCCATGCTGGCTTTCTCCCTGTTTAGAAAACATCTAAGTGTTTAGCTGGCCAAACAGTGGCTGTGGTCCCCACCTGGGTGGTCACAGTAACACCCGTGCTAGGTCGTGCCAGGTTGCTGAGTGCCAGGCAAAGGAGGTTCTCAAAATCCACGTTGTTACAGAGGCGACCTTCAAGTCAGCACACCACCGTCCTAACGCACGCTCCCTGGAGTTCGAGTGTGCGCCGGGCTTGGGGACCATGCCTTCCATGTCCCCCCTCTGCCTGGCATGGACGCTTGCAGGTTTGACTGTGCCTCAGCCTCTTCAACCACTCCAGGCCTCCAGGCCGTCACCGTGCTGGCTGGGTGGCCATGCTTTCCTAAAGCTGGACCCACAGGGTTCTGCTCGAGTTTTTGGTGGGGACACATCCTAGGGAGGGGACACCTCACAGGGCCCTACCACCAAGCCTGATGAGCTGCTGTACAGGGACAGGTATGACAGAAACAGCACCTGCCAGACCAGACAGAGGGACGCAATGGTCTCTGGGCAGCCCTGGCACACAGGAGGCGTCTCTGCAGGGCGACATATATGTCCCATCATGCAGCCAGGAATCCCAGCTGGGACCAGCCTCATGGCCTCATCCAAGTCTCTTTCCTTTCTTGGACTCAGTTTCTTCATCTGTAAAAATGGACAGAGGCCAGGCATGGTGGTACACACCTGTTATCCCAGCACTCGAGAGGCTGAGGCAGGAGAATTGCTACAAGTTTGAGGCCAGCCTGGGCTACATAGTAAGTTCAAGACCAGCCTGAACTACATAGTGAGGCCTTGTCTCAAAAAGCCAAAAAAAATTTTTTTTTTGATACTGAGGATTGAACTCAGGTCCTTCTGCTTGCCAGGCAGGCAGTGGAACCACTGAGCTAAATCCCTGGCCCCAAGCCAAAATATTTTTTAAAAATTCATTCCTTAATTAAGATGGACAGCAGATGTAATATATTGACAAATACCGGTTTTCACCCAAATCCTGGCCTCATTTTTTTTGTAGTACCAATAGTCTTTGTTTAACGACCTACCTATTTAACAACTATTTGCACATAGGGCCAAGGCAAGGTTTGGACTTATGACTTGTCTTTTTTTTTTTTGGTACAGTTCAGTCCATCTTGTTGATAGAGCCTCAGTGTTTTTTGTACAGCACTCCTTGTTTATACAGTACTGTAATTTTTGCTGACTGCATGCAGAGTATGGTACTGTAGTTTTATGTTCTGTCATCTACTACAGTACTGCATGTAAGAGTTATGGAAATAAAAGCAAAGTCATCAGGCTGGAGTTTCTTTGACCATTTCTTTGTTCTGAATATTGTGATGTACACGCTAAATACAATGCTTCATTTAGCTACCAATTCATTTAGCGACCTGGTTGCAGGAACGGAGCTCCGTCGTTACAGAAGAATTGTCTGTACTGGGGATCAAACATGGGGGTATTCTGCCACTGAACTACATCCCCAGCCCTTTCTATTTTTTATTTTGAGGCTTGGGGCAGGATTTCAACCCTCGGGCTCTGTTGCTCCTCTGGGTGGACAGTGTCAGCATTCAGCAATTCCAGGAAGTGCGGCTGGCCTGCTGCTATGCAGCTGCTGGCGTACTGGTGGGGGGAGCGCCCATGTCTTCTGGGGTCGCAAAAGTTGTCTGCTGACTGTAGTGCGACAGCAAGGAAAAAATGGTTTGCTTTCCCAATGTAGGAGAATTAGATCAATAATTTCCCCAAACAAGAGCCTCTAACTTCCCCTGCCTCTTAGGGACTCACAGGCTACTCAATTTTTTTTTCTTTTTGATTTTTTGACACAGGGTCTTACTATATAGTTTAGTCTAGCCTTGAGCTCATTATATAGTCCAGGCTAGCCTCAAACACGCAGCAATTCTCCTGCCTCAGCCTCCTGAGTGCTGGGGTAACAGATGTGCGCCACCATGCCTGGCTCTGACCAAGTTTCTTTCCTTTTTTTTTTTTTCCAAGTTTCTTGATAGTATCTCTTGAGGGGCTGCATACAGCTAGTTCTGAGTCTCGACGCAGAATCAAGAGAGGATCAGAATTCATATCACTGGTTGGGAAGAAGATCACAAGTCAAAATTCCATCGGATCCAGCTATTCCCCTTCTAGGTGTCTTCCCAAGAAAGTAAAGATATCATATTTCAGTGATCCATGCGTGGTCATGATAAACATAAACATAGCAGCACAATTCATGATAGTGAAATCTTGGAAGTGACCTATATGTCTATCAGCAGATGAATGGATAAAGAAAATGTGGTATTTACACACAAAGAAGTACTACTCTGCCATAAAGAAGGACAAACTTGAGTCATTTGTGGGAAAATAGATGTACCTTGAGACCATTTTTGTGAAATAAATCAGACACAAAGCTGAACTATCACATCATTTCTCTTATATGAGAAACCCAACATATAAATCATTTAAAGAGTAAAATAGATAAGAAGAAATGGGGAGAGAGAGATCCTTTGCAAACAGGAAGGGACTAAGAGATGGGGGGAGGAGGTATGAAGAGAATGAAGATGTGTTGTGTACGTGTACTAGCTTATTATATACTGCAAGAATGTACTAATAAAAATACAAAACAAAATTCCAAGTCTGATTTTTACTGAATGCATATCACTTTCACACCATCATTAAGCCTGAAAAGTCACAAGCCAGTCACTGCAAGTGGGGGACTGTCTGAAGTTTGCTTTTGGTTTCTAATCCTATAACTGCAGGACCCAACCCCATCCTCTCAATGTCACAGGGGCACGAAGAGAGGAAACGTTATTGAAGGATGGGGTTTAAGGCAGAGCTGGATGTGGAAGTGTGCGGGAGGGGAGTGGATGGCCGCCCTGTGGCACTGCATGGGCACAAGCAGGCGCCAAGGTAAGAGGTCTGACAGGTGGCCCTGGCTTGGGTGGCACCAGTGACACCTCATGCCAGGCCTAAGCTCAGGGTCCTGGCTGTGCAACAGGACAACCTTGCAACCCCAACAGGAGTCCCTGTACCTGCAGCTGGCTTCTGCTGGAGCCGGTCAGGAGGCTGAGATTCGGGGTCTCCCCCACCTAGTGAGTCTGCACTTGACCAGCTTTGAGAAGCCCACTGCGACTGCCTACACGTCCACCTGGGAGGTGGACAGCCTCCCCCCACCCGGGCCCCGAGCTGGCACAGACCACAGCTGTGGTGGACACACGATGCCCGCTCTGGACCTGGCGGCCTCTGCTTCCCTCCAGGGAGTCAGCTGCCACGGGCACCCCAAGACCATGCTGCTGTAAGGAGACCCAAGCCAACACAGGGGGAGGCTGCAAGTGGCAGAGGACCTCACCAACTCACTGCAGCTGACCCTGACCATATGGGCGCGCCAATGACTGACCTTTGCTGTGCTCAGCCACTGCCTCGTGTTCTTTGGTTACCAAGGCGGCACCTGTCTTTCCTCTTCCCTGAAGGGGGTGGCTGAGGAGCAGCCACCTGCAGGGACAAGGTGCTGAGTCCTTCTCCCTCCTGCTGCTCTGTGGGACAGACATTCTTGTCCAGGAAGACGGCAAGAGACAAGACGACACACAAACATGGTGACTTCGGCAGATAAGGACCCGCTTGGGGTGGGGATGGGGACAAGAGGAGTAAAATTAGGGACGGTCTCTGAGAAGACAAACTTGACCTGAGGCCCACAGCGGGGACTGTAAAACGCTCCCAGAGAAAAGCAGAGCTGGAAGGCTGAGGGTGAAGGCAGAGATGAGGTCACCAGAATCTGCAGGGCCCAGAGCTGCGCTGTCCTGCTCGGCAGCCCTGGCCACACAAGTGATGTCACCTGAGTTTAAACTGAGACGCAGTTGCTCCACCCCACCAGCCAGATGTCCTGTGCTCAGCATGGATGGTGGTGGCCACACAGGACGGTGCAGATAGCGTACATCGTCATTGTCAACAAGCGTTCTAGAGGCCAGCACAGGCACAGTACGGAAGGGAAGCAGGGCCACAGGTCTAGGTCAGACCACCTGCTCTTGGGCTTGAGGCTTCCTTAACTTCCTAGAGGTTCCCCTTCTCCTCGGAATTAAAGGAGGCTCTTCCAGTCCAAGCACGGTGGAAATTACCCACGGCAGCAGCCTGGCCCAGCCCTGAGCCGATTCTCTACAACCCAAACTGGCTCCCGTTTGGGGCCCCTGATGTGAAAGGAACAGTGTGGCCGCTACTTCAGGCACCATGCCGAAGGGATATTGGCACAATTAGTGGAAGCCAAAGTTGATTAGCATATTTTCTTCCTGGGCACTTAATATCTGTTGGTGTGGCAACAGGTGCCCTATCTGGTACCATCAGAACCAGAGGCCCAGGCAATGGCCCTCATGGGCCCACAGGGAGCACAGGGTCTCCAGGACAACATCCAGGAGGGGCCGGGCATGGTCCCAGGAGCCAGGCGAGTAGATTGCAGTTTGTCTTAGGGAAATGTATGATGGTTCCCAGGCTTGTCCCCGCTCCTTCTTTATCCTTGCACATAGCCTGGGCCAGTGGGTCGAGTGGCTGATTGCCACCCTGCCCCCCCGTGCTGTCATCCTGCAGAGAGGCCTCACCTGCTTGGGCTCAAACCCGGAAGTCCCAGCATCCTCTGGTCTTGGCTTTGGAAATGGCCTTTGGAGGTCTTGGGGTCCTGCTCCGGCTGATGGTGAATCTGTTCCCACTTGTGCCAGCTGGAGGTCCAGTGCTGTAAAGGAGCCCGTTCCATCTCTAGAGGGCTCTACTGTTGGGGACAGTTGATACAGAGCCTAGGCCATCCTGGGCAAGTTCCCAGAGTGTGGTAGGACTTGGGGTCAGCGGTCTGGCCCACAGTAGGTGCTGTGTTTGTTCACAGACCCCTCTTGCTCTGGCTCCTTTGCCATTTGTTAGGGTTTAGATCTACGATGGCCCCCAGTCTTCTGTGTGCAGAAGGTGACTGGACCATGAGGTGCTCTGCTCAGCAGTGGACGCATCCATGGAGGAGCTCAGATATGAATGTGCTGTAGGAGGCAGTGCCTGGTTGGAGGTGGTCACTGGGAAGGACCTGGAAGGGTGAGTTCCATCGGGTTCCTCCCTTCTCTCTGCTTCTTGACCACCATGAGGCGAGCAGCTCTGCTCTGCCAGGCCCTCCTCCACACTGTTTCTGCTTTGGAGCGGCTACCCATGGACCTCAACAGACCTCCTTTGGGTGAAAGTAACAGACACCATCTTTTCTTTCAGATGAGGCTGAAACTTTTTCAGCGTGCCCTATAAGCCACTGCATCTCAGATGCTGGGGGGGACCCCGTCCTCCTCTGCATGGCACAGCTCAGTCCTGAGCCTCCTGAAGACCCTAAGGGCCCGGAAAGGCTGAGTCCACAGGTGAGGACACGGCTCCCCCAGGGACCTGCTGGCCCTGTGCGACTGAGGCTGGCTCTGCCCCCTGGTGCCAGTTCCCAGTGTTGGTGCCTACGGGCTTCCCTCAGCCTGCTCCCACGGGCCAGCTGGGGCTGCCCAGCAACCCCTCAGTGAGAAGGCTTTGGTCCTGGCCCCCATCCCTCCTTCCTTTTCTAGTGTTCTGATCTACCCAGGCACTTTCTGTCACTGTTCCAAAGCTCTCTTACTGTCTCAAAGGAAAGGGAGAGGTTTGATACACCAGAGGGGCATGGGAGCTGGATTTAAGAACAAATTGAGAGCTGGCATTGTGCTCCACAGCCATAGTCCAAGGGCTCAGGAGGCTGAGGCAGGAGGATGGCTTAAGCCCAGGAGTTTGAGACCAGTCTGAGCAACATAATGAGAAGGCAGTCCACAGGAAGAAGGCCATCGGGTACATTTTGGAGGTGGTGCTTCTGTGTCACTCATGGCACCATGAGGATAGCTCTGCTCCCACTGCTGTGCCTTGTGACCCTAGCCAGTGGTTTCTGGGACCTAACCTGAGGCCAGGAGCAAGACTCTAATGGACCTGCCATCCCACAGCTGCCTCTCCACCCAGCAGTGTCCATCAAGGACACGGTGACCTTTGCCCAGGGAGCCAGTGCAGGTGGCCAGCTGAGGCACCTACAGATGGTTATGCAGTGGGAGAGGCCAGGTGTGCCCAGCTGGGAAGAACTCGGGGCTGTCCCCGGACGGCCCTGCCCCCAGTCCTGTGGTGTGAATGGGACAAAGCTGTCAGCTAGGGCTCCTGCATGGGGTGGGGCGGATCTGGGAACTCACCAGGTGTACCCGATGAGGCAGTGACAGCAGCAGGCAGCTCTCCTGGGTGGTGAGGACCAGGGACCAGCCCTGGGAAGGTAAGCAAATGTCCTGCACCAAGGTCCTATGCAGGTGACATTGTGATGTCACACCACTGAGGTGGCCCCACAGCAGGGTCAGGGACAGGCAGTCAGGCCAGGCCAGCACCACTAGAGAAGCACTGAAAGGCATCTGTGGTAGAGACATGAACCTGTGGGCAGACAGCAGCAGATAAAATACCCCACCGCCGTCCGCCACTATGACTCCTGTCCCTGCCTTCTGTGGGTCACTGGATTAAACTAAGCCCATCTTTTTTGTTTTGGTTTGTTTGTTTGTTTGTTTGTTTGTTTGAGACAAGGTCTCACTATGTGGTTCAGGCTGGCCTTGAACTCATTATGTAGCCCAGATTGGCCTGGAACTCTCAAAGATCCTCCTGCCTCAGCCTCCTGAGTGCTGATATCATATGCTTGTGCTGCCACACCTGGCTCAGAACAAGCCCATCTTTTGCAAAGTTTCACCACACTTATGGACTTATGCGGGCAACCCCAACTCCAGGTTCTTTCTGTGATTCATTTAAAATTCCAGGCAGCTTTTTTATATTGTTGTTTTCTCTGCTGGGCTATCCCTACCTTTTCCCCAACTGTCTGCCTGGTGGGGCCTCAGGGCAAGCAAAAGAATTTAAATATTAGCTCAGGAAAACAAACAGGCAGTAAATCCACCCCTCCAGTTAAATCCAACACAGATGTCTTTGAGGTTATCTTCACAGTACCGTTGTCTGGGCTACTTTCCACTGTTGGGATTTGATAATTAGGTGGAGTTTGTATTTAATAGGGCTGAAAAGAAGAGAAACTCACCCTGAAGCTTCCAGGCCCTTTTCCTCTGGTGCTTGGGCCCAGGGTGGGGAACAGTCCATGGCTTCACTTGGAAACCTCTGGCTGAGCCTACATTTTGAGTTTCAACAGTGGATTATATTAGGGTGCAAATATTAGGGTGCATTAGAATCACCTTATGGGTTGTGAACCATGTATCCCACCCCCAGAGATCCGGAGTCCGCAGCCCTGCGGGGACCCACACACTCACACTTCTAACCAGTTCCCAGGTGCAGTGACACTCCCGGTCCAGGGAAGGCATTTGAGAGCCCTGAAGGGGTGCTGGTCTCCTGGGTTTGATCCTGAAATAGCAAGGCTGGCTGGCGGCAATTATTTGAGGTTTTCTGAGAACAAACAGGAGCTCTGTTTTGAGGCCAAGGCTAGCTGAGCCTCTGGTTCAGCCAACAGGCTTTATTGAGGCTCTGTTCATTGCCGGGGCTGAGCCTGAGCAGGGGACGCAGCTGACATCACCTGAACCCTTGGGCAGAGCCATTTGCAAGGCAAAGGTGACCTGACTCCCACCCAACTCAGCTTGGGCAGCAGCCAGGGCCCAGAGGTCCCCATGGGGTCCAGCCTTGGTGCCCACATGGTGACCAGCTTGAAACACACCTTCCTGAGGTGCCTCAGCTCCCAGTATCCTCCTCCTGTGGTGTTTGTCCTGATAAGAGCATGGTCAGAAGACGAAGGACATAAACCAGCGTAGTAGGCTTAGACTTTCTGGAATTGCTGGTGAGGGTCTGCTCTCAGGGCAGATGGTGGCCCTGTGCCCTTTGGATGTCATCAAGGTCATCTGAGGAAATCACCAGCTGCTGTGGTCAGGGGAAGTTGGTGATCCTTGCTCATACATCAGGAGGTCTGCATGGGATGGGTCTGCCACACGGTTGCTTCCGAAGTCAGAATAAGAAGGTGCAGCTCAGTCACCTTAGAGGAGTGTTTGGTGCTCACAGAGTGGGTGATGAGGGTCTTTGCTGCCCAGGTGGGTTCTATACCTGCCCAGGAGCCAGGCCCAAGGTCCTGGCTGTTCCCCTCTCAGCCCTGCACTGTGGCAGGACCGGCCCACCCCTTTACTGCCCCACAGTGGCCCTTGGTCGACCCCAACCCCTCCCTGTGCTTCACCTGTCACTGCCACCAGCCTTCCCGGAGTCTCCCCAGCAGACAGACAGTCCAAACACAGTGTGCCTGGCAAGGGGACACCCTCCAGTCCAGCTCCCTTGAGCTGGCACTTCAGGTACAGGAAGCCTGGCGTTGCCATCACGTGAGCCCAGCTGCGATTGGCTGGTTACCGTCCAGGTCACGCTGAGGGGACAGATCACTCCAGAGTTCTTCTCTCCCCAGCTTTCTACCTGGCTCCAGGGACAAGGAAGCCTACTGTCCCCATGCACTGTGTCAGGGATGGTATTAACTTTGTCAGCCTTGCTCAGGACTCAAAAGTCGTTGGCTACCAGCCACCATAGAGCTCTGCCTGCAGACCAAGGGGCACCTGCATGTGAGGGACCCGATTCAGAGCCTAAGACGGAGCTCAGAGGTGAGAAGGAGCTCAGTGTGTGCTCTGGGAGACCGCAGTCCCAACACTCACCTCGAATCTCACGCTCTCAAGGCCATGGTTCAAGGCTTTGAACCTGCTAATTTCATCTCCTTAGTTTATTTGGAGGAAGTAGTCCAAAATATGAAAGGAATGAATCCAAAACATGGAGGAATATAAATATAAAACTATATAAATGTATAACCCTAAAATATGAAGGGAAATACATGGTACTGGGGATTGAACTCAGGCGCTAATCTGTTAATGCAGCCTTATTTAGAAATGTGGGAAATGAAATAATTTAAATGTCTGTAGAGAGGTGAAGCAATAAATTACAGAAAACTCTCTGGTTGGAATATGAGGTGTCATTAATATAATGGCTATCAAGAATACAAACAATTACAACTGTGGAAATACTTGCCTATTAAAAGTGTCCAACATCATTAGTGATCAGGGAAATGAAAATTCAAAGCACTACATGCTCACCAGAGAGGCTAATATGAAAAAGAGCAACAATACTAAGTGTTGATGAGAATGTGGGACAACTGGACCTCTCATACAATGGGAAATGGCATAGCTGCACTGAAAAATTGTTTGGAGGTTTCCTGTAAAGTCAAACATATGACCTGGCAATTCTACTCATTCACCCAGAGAAGTGAAAACATACCCATAAGAAAGACTGGTATAAGAACATTCCCAGCTGCTTTATTCATTGTAGCCCCAAACCTAAAGAGTAATTTCAGTGACTGCCTGGAATGGGGGTTAGCTAAAGGGCACACAGCAACTTTGTGGGCTGAAGGAATATTCTAGATCTTTCTCCAGTGGTTACTCAGGTATGCACATTTGTCAAAACTCACAGGTTTATATGCTTAAAACTCAGGAATTTTATTTTATTTTATTATTGTTATTTTTTTTGGTACCAGGGATCAAACTCAGGACCTTGCACTTGCAAAGAAGGTGGCGGAACCACTGAGCTAAATCCCTGGCCCAGGAATTTTATTTTTAAATAAATTTTATTTTATTTTATCCCATTTCCCCCTCAACCCCCTTCCCTTCCCTACGTACAAAAGCTTCCTTTCCATTTTTTCCCCATTTTCACTTTTTTTCTTGTCCCTTCCTTTCCTTTCTCCCTCCCTCCTCCCTTGTTCCCCTTCCCATTTCCCAATATCTATTATACATTTCAGTCCTTATTTCCACTTTCAGTTTCTTACACTAGAGAAAGAATGTGGTATTAAAAGACGTGTGTCTGATTTATTTTACTTAGGAGTATGGTCTCAAGGTCCACCCATTTAGCTACAATGTCTGAAGATCATCCTTCTTTATGGCAGAGTAGTACTCCATTGTATAAAAAAACCACATCTTCTTTATCCACTCATCAGTTGATGGGCATTTGAGCTGTTTCCAAGATTTAACTATTACACACTGTGCTGCTATAAACATGGGTGTGCATAAGTTGCTGAGGAATTTTATATATTATAACTTAATTTTATACATTGTGACTAAGCCAGGTGTGGTGGTGCACACCTGTAATCCCAGCACATGGGAGGCTGAGGCAGGAGAACCGCCATGAGTCAAGGCCAACCTGAACTACATAGTGAGACCCTGTCTCAAAAAAAAAAAGAAAAGAAAAAAAACACAATGTAGCCTATACCTCAATAAAGGTGAACATGTATGTATATATTTAATACATACATGTCTGTGGTGTGTGTATATGATGTATAATACACTCAACGTTGCTTGTCAAGGGGGAAAACGAGAAGGAAGTACTCTAAATGTGAGAAGGCTTTGTGTTCATGCCTGAAATTATAGGTGATGTTTTTCTTAGATTTACCAAATTTAATCTATGATTCTATTTTGATAAAATAGAATAGCAAATGTTCATTTGTTAAAGACTGCAGACTGCTAGGGACATGCACATGGGGTGGTCAACTTTTGAGATTTCTAGTGCCAATCTGGGGGCTCCTACGGGTTTCTCTCCATGGATCTGCAGCCAAGTTTAGATCTCATGTCCCTCACGAAGTCACCCATACCGTCCTGGTCAAAACCCAGCGTTGTCTTATTTATGTCAACTGGCATCTTTACAGACGTTTCTTCTGAAACACAGTGTCCACTCGCAAAGGGCTGGGATAATTAATTTCTTTTCTTTTTTCTTCCCCCCACCCCTTCCTTCCTGTAGTGGTAGGGATGGAACCTGATGTAGTTCATTGGTGGACCTCTGAGGACACAGGATAAATTTTATATTCCTAACAGTCCTATGTAGGGAAACTAAATCTGAGCTGGCACAGGGCTGCCACGCACAGTGGCCCAGGCTGTTCACTGTCCTAGCCCCAAACAACAACACAAATGGTTTTCTTTGCTGTGTGCACGGTGCACTTTGGAGATGTGCAAGCTGAGTCCTTGGTCAAAATCCTGTCCCACCACTTCCTAGTTTGGTGACTAGGAAGTTATCCCAAGACAGGTTCCTTAGCTATGTAATAGGATAGTTAGATGATTGAGGCGTGGTAGCGGGAGTTTAAAGCCCTCTGCCGTCTACTAAATACACTGCAATGGCAGATGAGGTGCTCAAATAATAAATCTAGGCCTTGATCTCTTCCTCTCTGACCTCTTTTGTTCCTTGTTCTTTATCACTACTTCCTCGCAGCTTCACCAGTTTCTCAGAAATTGTCAGTTATGTCTCC